GGGCCCCGAGGTGGCCAGGCCGTGACCTGATGCTGGCTCTGCTCGGTGGGCGGAAGAGAAAGCGGCCTCTGGAGAGCCGCGTCCGAAGAGCCGCGTGGGGAATGGCCTCGAATGTGACACCGTCGCCCCCACTTCCTGTTGCGGAGGGCTCGGGCACGGGCACGGCAGGAGAGCAGACGGCTCCGTGGTCGGGCCTGGAATGACGGTAAAGGGGGCGGGCAGCCCGGCGGGCCGGTGTTCTGCGTCCGGGTGGCGGGCTTCCCTCTCGGCCGCTCCCCCGGGGGAGGTGATGCCTCACGTGTGAGAACACTGGACTCTGAAGACGCCGAGACATGCTTGAAGCCGTCTCTTTAGGGGAAGAGGGAAGGACGTGTAGCATTTATTATGGGCCGGGTGAGGTGGCTCCAGCCGGTTATCCCAGCCCTTTGGGAGGCCAAGGCGAGAGGATCGCCCGAGCCCGCGGGTTCGAGACCCGCCCGGGCCACTTGGCGAGACCTCATCTCTGCAATAAATCGAAAAACTAGCCGGGCGTGCTGGCGTGCGTCTGTCGTTCCAGCGACTCGGAAGGCGGAGGCGGAAGGATCGCCGGAGCCCGGCGCCCGGCGGGTCGAGGCTGCGGTGGCCGGGAGCGGCCGCTGCACTCCAGCCTGGGGCACAGAGTAAGACTCTGACTCAAAAAAATAAAAACAGGAGTTCATGGGCCACGTGCGGCGGTGCATGCCATGATCCCAGCACTTTGGGAGGCTGAAGTGGGAGGATTGCTTGAGCCCAAGAATTTGAGACCAACCTGAGCAACATAGCGGGACCTCATCTCTACCAAAAGCACAAAAGTGAACTTGAGCTCAGAAGTTGGAGGCTGCAGTGAGCCATGACCATGCCAATAACTTCAGCCTGGGTGACAGAGTGAGACCTTGTCTCTGAAAAAAAAAGAAGGAAGAAAGGAAGGAAGACAAGAAAAAGAAAAAAGAGCGTGTGGTCGTTCCCACACACATTGTTAGTTCTCACAGATCTCTGGGTGTTATCAGCCCATTTTGCAGTTGGGAATTTGGCTAGAGGTTGACCGTGGGCTGGAGGTCTTGCAGCTCGTGGCAGTAGAGCCAGGATTGAAACTCAGCCCTGTCAGACCCCGCCCTCGGGCAGGTCCACGCTTCCGGGAGTTGGGGACTTCTTTTTGCCATACTTGCTGCCCTGGGGACACCCTGGGCCACATCCAACCCACAGGCCTCTGTCAGGCCGGCGTTGGGTTATAAAGGAAAAGCTGAGCCAGCGTTGCAGTTGGGAGTGGCCAGGATTCTGGCCCCAGGAGTTCCGGCAGGCAGGACTGTGAGGCCTTGGCCTAGGTGTGGGTGCCCCAGGGTGACAGGAAGCCAGGCGCAAACACTGCCGCAAGCGGAGCCCCTATGTGGCCACAAAAAGCCAGTCAGAGGCGACCGTGCTGTCCGTGCCCCACGGCGGCTAAGCCGACCCTCCCAGGAACCCTGGGATTCCTGCGTGGGCACCTCCCCTGGGTGATGATTAACACCCTTGTCAAGGGAAAAATGGGTCGATGGATCATTAACCAGAGCAAACAAGGGCGAGGTGGCCCTCGTAGGTGTGGACTCAGCCGATCCCGGGTTGGATTTCTGGTTCTTCCACCGCTCGACTGGGCGACCTGAGCCTAGTTTCAAAAACCTCTTTGTGCCTCAGCTTCATGCGTGTGAAACTGAAGCAGCAATGACACCTCCCTGGTGGGCCGTGTGCACGCCACGGCTGCCCCGGCCGTGAGACAGGAGTCACGGGTCAGCAACAGCTGTTGCTGTGCGTCCGGCCCTCCTTGCCTGCACTGGGGTCGGGGGTTTCCCGGCAGCGTTAGGAGGACCCCAGGGAGCCACTCCCCAGCCCTGCCCTGCCGGGGAGCCACCCTGCCGTCCGGTGGCACCGAGGCCCTTGTGGAGGTGGGCGCGGCGTCTGGGGCCGCAGCAGCCTTGGAGCCACAAGTGCTGGCCCGCCTGGCCCTGTTGTCTGGGAACAGCATCTGTGCCCACTGTGGAAGGCAGGTGGAAGCCCGGCACGCATGGGGGTGCCAGTGCCACCCTGTTGTGAAAGATCGGACTGGTGTCAGGCCCGCCCCAGGTGCCCCAGCTGGAGAGTTTCAGGCCGGGTCTTCTGGCGTCCAGGACCCCTGCTGTCAACAGGGGACGAGCCCTCATGGGCATGTCGCGAGGGCCTGGGTCTGACACAGCACAGGGAAGCCTGCCCGGCCTGCCCTTGCTGGCAGAGCCATCAAGCACATCCACCATGAGGTTTCCGTTGTAGCTTCAGAAGACAAAGTAAGGCCAGGCGCTGTGGCTCAAGCTGTCATCCCAGCACTTTGGGAGACCGAGGCGAGAGGATCCTCAGCCCGGGGATCCGAGACCAGCCCGGGCAACTTGGAGAGGCCTCATCTCTGCAATAAATCAAAAAATTAGTCTGGCTTGGTGGCATGTTCCTGTAGTTCTGGCTACTTGGAAGGCTGAGGCAGAAGGATCACCTGAACCCGGCAGGTCGAGGCTGCGGTGGCCGTGAGCGTGCCACTGCACTCCAGCCTGGGCAACAGAGTGAGAATCCGACTCAAAAAAAAAAAAAAAAGAAAGAAATGCAAACCTGGCAGGGTGTGGTGGCTCATACCTATAGTCCTAGCACTTGGGGAGGTCAAGATGGGATTGCTTGAGGCCAAGCGTTCAAGGCTGTGGGAGCTGTGATCACATCACTGCATTCCAGCCTGGGCAACAGAGTGAGACCTCGACTCAAAAAAAAAAAAAAAAAAAAAAAGGCTGGGTGCAGTGGTTCACACCTATAATTCCAGTACTTTGGGAGACTGAGGTAGAGCCCACGGGTTCGAGATCAGCTTGGGCAACTTGTCGAGACCGCATCTTTACAATAAGTCAAAAAATTAGCCGGGCATGGTGGCGCGTGCCTGTAGTTCCAGCTACTTGGAAGGCTGAGGTGGAAGGATCGCCGGAGCCCAGCAGGTCGAGGCTGCGGTGGCCGGGAGCATGCCCCTCCCTTCTGGCCTGGACGACAGAATGAGACTCCAACTAAAAACAAAAAGGAAAAAAAAGCAGAATCTTGGCCACCTCTGACACGTTGAATCAGAATCTGTCCTTTAACAAGATCCATGTTCCAGTTTGGGAAGTATTGCTCTGAAAGGCCACCATCTTACCAGTCGCAGGTGGCCCAGCACTGGCTACCTCTGATCTGTGTGTACACACAGCTTTCTCCTATTTACCAGCTCGAGGGATGGCAGTGTCCCCCCCTCTCCCCACAAGGCTCCGTGGAGACAAGCAGCCCTGATTCTGAGCTCAGCAGACCTCTGGGAGGCTGGGGGATTCTGCCACGTGCCCCCTGAGAAGCCCTGGCACACAGCTTCACCTTGCTGTGTCCCTTAGCATGACACTGTCAGCGTTTTGCCACTTAGTCTTTCTCAAAAGCGTGTCTTTCATGGCTGCAGGTAAATAGTTCATCTCACGACTGCATCATAATTCACTTGACCGCTTCCCTGCCGTGAGACCTCGGGCCCTTTGGATCCTTGGAGGGCGGGGAGGGTGCTCTGTGGACTTCTGTAAGTATGCTGAACGCAGCCATTATTCACTTCCCCTCTGAGTGTCTCATGATCAACGGCTGGAGTGCAGACACTGGGGCAAAAGGTGTGAGCGTTTTCAACACTCCGCAAAAGGCCCGGGACATCGGAAGCGCTTGCCGCCGTCCACTCCCGGGCGCTGGAGTGTGGGTGGACAGACCTCGGGGTGGGTTTCGCCTCACCCACCTCCATGTCCCAGGCCTGGTTTAGAAACCGCTTGAGGCCACCTCGAGGAGCCTGGGGAGTGGAGAGGAGGTGAGGGAAGGGTGGCCACCACTGTGGTGGGCCTGACCTCCCGGCCCGGGGCCTGACAGCAAGTGCCTCTGCCAGGCCGCAGACTTCCTCGGGGCGTCCACAGCTCAGCCTTTCCTCCCAGTGGCTGGGGCACGGAAGGCGGGGCAGGTGGGCCCACGTAAAGTGGCCACACCTGGAACCACGTGCGAAGTAAACTTTATTCCAAAAGATACAGATTCTCACGTTTTAAGGAACTGAAACATCCACACTGTGTATGTGGTTGAGTCGTAGTTTGAACCTGGACACCCGGAATGTATGTGCAGTCTCCGTAAATACTTTTGAAGCAAAGGAGTAAACGAGTCCACAGTGAGTTTGATTATGTTTCGTAACATGTCAGATGTATTTCTGTGTGTGTCACATGATGTAATCCAAACGCTTAAACATGAGTGTTAAGCCATCAGCCACCCATTTGTATGAACCATATGCCATGTGCCGATGACCAAAGAGACGCAGGTGGAGAGCAGCACACAGATCGGATCAACACATGTTCTTCTGGAAATAAGTTATGCGTGTTTTTACTCTCCACCGCTCATGAATTTACAGAGGACTTTCCGGAAGCAGGTTGATGGCTGACGTCACAACTGATTCAATGTAGATGAGAATTCGACTGTCTACCATCAAGCCAGACACTAGAGTAGTGTGTGGAATGTAGGGCATGGTGCTACTCTGCTAAGTTTTTCTGTTTGGTAAAATACAGTAATTTTTCATTTAAGAAAATGTTATTTACGCTGACATGCAACAAGCGTCAAAGGGTCCCAAAAGCAAAAACCGTGAGAACTGCCGGCTTATCCTGTGGGCGAAAAGTGGAAAGCAAAACGGGACTTCTTGAAGCAGTGCTGGCTTGTGTGCATCTGCCTCTGAGTCTCTGGTGAACTTTCGATCTAAGTATCCGCTTGCTTCCTTTTGCTGGAACGAAACTAAGAATACAAGCAGTTAGTCGCCGGCTTCACTCCCACAGCAAGTTACAGTTTGCTAAGCAGGGCTCTGGTGCCAGCTCCACTGGACTCGTTATTGAGATAGCTCTTAACGATGGTGATTTCTGTTTTCTGTCTTTCACACAGACCTTACTCACGTGGCGTTTTGGTAGAACACAAGGAAATGCAAGGAACCAAAAGTAACGTCACGGAGGGCGGCAAACCGCAATAAAATAGGAAGATCATCAGTCAAGAAAGACCCGTGGTGGAGAGTAAGTGTGGCGTGTTGTTAAGAACCAGCTGAGACATAAACAGAAAAGCAGAGGCTGGGCCAGTGGAAAGAAATCATAGTTTCCTTCCCTTAGGCCCTGCTCTTATTTCCAAACCGGGCTACTTTGCAAAGCCAGCCCACGGAAGAGACACAATGCCTTGAAAAGGCCTTTCGCGGGCTTTTCAGGTTGCATGTGCGGTATCCGAGTCGACTCACAGGGAGTTCAAAGCCATGCAGGAAAAGGGCCGTATCTTTTTTTCTTTCTCCTGCTGTAAACAAGGAGGGTACAAATCAGGATTGGGTACATCCGTACGTCGTCTGTGAGCAGCTGAAGCTTGGGCCTCCAAGTGATCCTTGCTTCCCCTGGTCTAGGGTCAGGTGTCCCTTAGTGAGGTGATGGCCCCGCGCCCCACCCCCACGGCGTCTCGCTCCTGCCGAGCCCTCTCGTGGCATGGTGATGCAAGTCCAGGACCAGCTCATGAGTGAGAACACGTGGTATTCAGTTCTTCGTTTCTGTGATCGATCGCGAGAGGGATGGGCTCTAAGTCCATCCAAGTGGCTGGGCTCGGGTGATCCCTCTGCCTCAGCCTTCCAAGTAGCTGGAACCACAGGCGCATGCCATGCTGATTTACTGTAGAGATGAGGTCTCGCCATGTTGCTCAGGCTGTCCTCTCACCTCCGCCTCCCAAGTGCCGGGATTACTGGCATCAATCACCATGCCCGGCATCGAACATACATTTTTAAAAGTGAATCTTGGCGAAGTCTGAACCCACACAAGTTCCCTTCCTCACCATTTTAAGCCAACATTGGCTGTTTAAAACTAAAACTGTTTTTCCCTTGGCACAAGAGACTTCATATGGCCTCATCATTCCACCTAGGCTTCCTTATCCAAGCAACTCCACTTAAAGGCCAATGGTATCTGTCAGGCCTGCAGCTACATCACATCTGGATGGAACGTTTTTGGATAGAGTCAAGTGAAACTACAGCATGTTTGAGTATAGAAAATAATGTCAGCATAGGAAGCATATGAAAATATTGGATTTTTTCCCACCTGCCTTTACGTATATGCACGTGTGCATAGATCCATTATTTGCGTCCCTTAACACGTGAGCTAACGGCACAGACTTATGGCATGAGTCATGGTTCAATCTGTCAGCAGGTCTGGTAACCCCCACACTGATCTCTTTACTCTCTTGGACAATCTCCTCCCCACTCGCTTGAAGCTGTTTGATCACCAGCAACTTGCTTTTAGGCAAATTCAGTTTTTTTCACTTTTTAACCTCAGTATTCCATTTTTTCCCCTTAGAATTCGGGAAATAGGCCAGGCGTGATGGCTCACGCCTATAATCCTAGCACTTTGGTAGGCCGAGGTGAGAGGATTGCCTGAGCTCACAGGTTCAAGCCCAGCCGGGCAACTTGGCAAGACCCCATCTCTACATTAAATCAAAAAATTAGCTAGGCGTGGTAGCGCGCACCTGTAGTTCCAGCTACTTGGAAGGCAGAGGTGGAAGGATCACTGGAGCCCAGCAGGTCGAGGCTGTGATGGTTGGGAGCATGCAATGCACTCCAGCCTAGGCTATGTATAGAGCAAGACTCCAACTCAAAAAAAAAAAAGAAAATATGCGCCAAATTCACAATGCTTAAGAGATAGCAAGTATAGAAAAGAGAGAGTGAAACCTAAGTCTTCCTCCTGTTCTGAGAAACATTTTTAACGACTGCATAATTGTGTATCAGAAGGACGTACTGTACCGTGTCCAGGTTGCACATCCCTAATCCGAAAGATCCAGAATCTGAAAACTTTTTGAGTGCCGACACGGCGTTCAAATGAAACACTCACTGAATCACTTTGGATTTCAGATTTTTGGATTAGAAATGCTTAACCAGCATCATGCAAATATCCCCCAACCCCAAACCTGAAACACTTCTGGTCCCAAGCATTTTAGGTAAGGATACCCAACCTGTCTCATTTTTAACCCATCTTCAGTTGTTAACATTTCTGTGCGGGTTTGTTGTTCTCATTGTCTGCCTGGGGGTTTGTTTTTGCTATTTATAAACACCTGCTGAACAGAACTGTAGAAAGAACTTTAGGTGAACCTTGATTTTTTTTTTTTGAGTTGGAGTCTCACTCTGTCGCCCAGACTGGAGGGCAGTGGCCGCTCCCAGCCACCGCAGCCTCGACCCGCTGGGCTCCGGCGATCCTTCCACCTCAGCCTTCCGAGTAGCCGGAATTACAGGCGCGCGCTACCACGCCCGGCTGATTTTTTGATTGATTGTAGAGATGAGGTCTCGCCTCGCTGCCCAGGCGGGTCTCGAACCCGCGGGCTCAGGCCATCCGCTCACCTCAGCCTCCCAAAGGCGCGGATGACAGGCTGAGCCACCGAGCCCGGATAACCTTGATTTTTTTAAGGATGAATTTCTTGACTCTTCTTCCTTTCCTTCCACCCGTCCCGGCTTTCTTCTCTGGCCTCTTTCTTCATCGTCTCTTTTTCCTGCCTCCAAACGCGTTCACCACACAAGCCCCAACCGCGCATTTGACTCGACTCACCCCTTCCGCATGCTTTCAGGATCAACACTCATCCCCGTTTTTCCCTGTGTTCCCTCGTCTTTCCAGGTGCCGTCCCTGAAAGACCATATCCAGGAGATAAATCCTCTTTCTTTCCTTTATCTTTATTCCCATTATTTTCAGTGGAGTCATCTATTTTAAGCCTTTGAGCTCAGAAGATTTGATGTGAATAACCCTGCGGCTAAAAAGCTTTGGAAACACTACGTTCAAGGCCCCAGAGCTTGGCCTCTAAGCTTCACTGACAGAAAGACCAAAAAGGGAGCTGGGGTGACATCTGGAGTCAGAACGGGACCGGGTTAAAGCTACTGGTGATGGTTTTGAGCACTGCTGTCAAGTTGCTATTTTAGGCATGGGTTTTGGCTCCAGTAGATAAAGTATTTCTCCATCTCCTTAAAAGTTAGTGAAACCCATACTTACACAGGAGTTACTTTGGTTTTAAAATCTCTAAGAAGTCTGGACCGTCTGGGTCTCAAAATATCACCTGAATATACACATTAATTCTTCTTGATCATATTCTATATTCTCCAAGTATGAAGGGGGATCCCAAAACTCCGGGTTTAATGTATACAAAATTGTGTATTTATCCTTACAAGTTTAAACTTCGGTCACCTTCCAAGTACTCTGAGACAACACACCTATCGAGATGCTTTTTCCACTGCTCAAAACAGTTTTTGAACCCGTCAGTTTTGATGCCCTTTGAGGGCTTCTGCCTTTTTGTTTCACCTCTTTCACCTCGGCAAAACATTTCCCTTTTTTCATCTGACATTTTTCACCCGAGGAAACCAAAAGCAGTTCCTTGGGGTGAGATAGAGTGAAGAGGGAGGGCGGAGCACAGGGGGCTCATGCCTTTCTTGGCCCAAAACTGCTGAACACTCAGAGTGGGGTGCGCAGGTGCATTGTCGTAGTGGAAGAACCAGTCACCTGTTTGCCACAACTCATGACATCTCTTCTGCAAATCATGACGCACCATTCTCAAAACTTCCAGGTAAAAACTTGGGTTGACCATCTGATCCAGAGGAAGTAGTTCTGAGTGTACTGCAAGGGGCTTGCCCTCTGAAACATAATTCCGGGGTTTTCTGGGGTACCCCCCCATATCACGAGAAATATAATTCCTATTTATAAGTTTCATTATTGGGGGAAATGATGGAACTAAATTAGATTTTTGAGAACAGCAGTGCTTGCATTGTAACGTTTTAACAGACAGCATCAAGATGACATCAAGCTTTTCTTTTCACCTTTTTTTGCAGGGATGGAAAATAAAGCAAGCAGCATTTTATCCGTGTGTACCTCAGCAGTTCTTGAAATTTAACTATGACTGCTCTCTCTTCAGAGAACTGTTCTTTGCAGTACCAGATCCATCAAACAAACCAGCCCCTAGATGTTAACTGCTTGCTGTTCTTGATCGTACTTGGGAAAATATTACTAAATATCCTCACATTAGGAATGAGAAGAAAGAACACCCATCAAAACTTCATGGAATACTTTTGCATTTCGCTAGCATTTGTTGATCTTTTGCTTTTGGTAAACATTTCCATCATATCCTATTTCAGAGACTTTGTACTTCTAGGCATTAGGTTTACTAAATACCACATCTGCCTGCTGACTCAAATTATTTCCTTTACTTATGGCTTTCTGCATTATCCAGTGTTCCTGATAGCTTGTTTAGATTACTGCGTGAACGTCTCTAAAACCACCAAGCTTTCATTTAAGTGTCAGAAATTATTTTATTTATTTGCAGTAATGTTAATCTGGATTTCAGTCTTCACTTATGTTTTGGGCGATCCAGCTATCTACCAAAGCCTGCAGGCCCAGAATGTGTATTCTTATCGCTGCCCTTTCTATGTCAGCATTCAGAGTTATTGGCTGTCAGTCTTCATGGTGATGACTTTATTGATTGCTTTTATAGTCTCCTGGTCAGAGGTCATTCCCTTAATCCAGGCTATCAGGGTAACTTCTTACATGAATGAAACTGTTTTGTATTTTCCTTTGTCATCCCACTCGAGTTGCACCGTGAGGTCCAAAAAAGCCCTCTTGTCCCAGCTCCTTGTCTGCTTTCTCGGTACCTGGCTGCCCTTTGTAGGACTCCAAGGGACCCTTCTTATACTTCAAGTACAGATCCCAGCATTCATCGAGATGAACATTCCGTGGCTGTACTTTGTCAACAGTTTTCTCGTGGCTGCAGTGTACTGGTTTAACGATCACAAGCTTAGCTTAGAAGACATCGCGTTACCTCTGGATCCGTTCGTCCACTGGAAGTGCTGCTTCCTTCCGCTTACAATTCCTACTCTTGAGAAAATGGAAAAGCCTATATCGATAACCATTTGTTAATAGATTGCCATGTTGAAACTAACTGAAACTTACATCGATGTGAACTCAGGGCATATTAAAAAACAGGAACTGAACTGGAGCTTTTCCCCTTAGCTTTTGTACCTTTTCAGAATGTGTCTTTTTGGGGCTATGATGTTATTTATTAAAGTGTTTTCTTTTAAAAGCAAAATAATTCCAAGGGTTGTTTATAACTGTTCGGGGACACTGTATATTGCAAATATTAGCTTGTCATTAACACAAAAGTGAAATGTAAAGTGAACATTTGGCCATACTGATGTTTGTATTACCCAAAAAACTACTGGAATGCAAACTGTTATGTGAATTTGAAATTTAATTGCCAACTGTAAGCCATGAGCATAAATAAACATTTTTATCAAATCAGAGCAAGAAAATCAAAACTGTCCTTAAAATGATTTGCCATAAACTTGAACGTAAGGGAAAGATGAGCTCATTTTAAATTTAGCTACTTCAGCTGGGCACAGTGGTTCATGCCTGTAGTCCCAGCACTTTAAGAGGCCAAGGTGGGAGGACGGATTGAGCCCAGGAGTTTTAAACCAGCCTGGGCAACACAGTATTAGTGTACTGGTTAACACCTCATCTCCACAAACAAAAATTAGCCAGGTATGGTGGCGCACATCTGTAGTCCCAGCAACTTGGGAGGCCAAGGCAGAAGGAACACCTGAGCCCAAAAGGCTGAGGCCGCAGTGACCTGTGACTGCACCACTGGACCCCAGCTCAAAAAGACAAACATAAATTTAGCTAATTTTAAAAACTGTATCTCTGTGTAGTTTCTGTTATTAACGCAAATGTCGCTAGAAAAGTTTTGGTTGCTCACCTTATGGAAGTGAGAGTAGTGACGAGGTCTCTGTCTGTGACCTACCAGGTTCATTTTCAGTTACAACATGTTACATACTTGAATGCCAAGTAGTAATCACATTAGCATTGTATCGTGCTATAAAAGTATGGCAGGGTTTCTTATCCTCGGCCCAAGTGACTTTTGGGGTTGGACAGTTTTTTGTGGGGCCCACCCTGCACACTGCCCACTATGCCAAGAGCATCTCTATCCCCAGCAGGAGCAATCAGAAACGCCAAACCTCCCCTGGTGGGTGGGCACCACTGCCCTGCTGAGAACCACGGAGTAAAGCAACCTGCGTGGCAGGATCATCTGAAATCACTTCGGGAATTAAGCTACGTAGATGTTTTGATCACCATTTGCAAATACTAATGTATGTTGCGTGACCCTAAGCCTAGCATTTTCTAAATTGACTTTTAATTTTTTGACATCTACAGTAAGATGTTTTCTATATCATGACCCATATAGGCTTATATGCTTATGTCATAACAATACTTCCTTACATATTATGCGCAGATGTTTTATAGTATCTTTTTTTTTTTTTGAGTTGGAGTCTCACTCTGTCACCCAGACTGGAGTGCAGTGGCCACTCCCGGCCACCGCAGCCTCGACCTGCTGGGCTCCGGCAATCCTTCCGCCTCAGCCTTCCAAGTAGCCGGAATTACAGGCGCACGCTACCACGCCTGGCTGATTTTTTGATTTATTGTAGAGATGAGGTCTCGCTGCCCAGGCGGGTCTCAAACCTGCGGGCTCAGGGAATTCACTCACCTCAGCCTCCCAAGGGCGCGGGATTACAGGCTGAGCCTCCGAGCCCAGCTTAGTATCATTTTTTTATGCTGGCTGTGATCCACTAAATTGAGTTAACGATCCACATATGAGTTACTTCCCATTACCGGAAAAATTTCCTAAAACATGTGCTATGAAGCAGTAATACTAGCTAAGATTTAGGAAGTGCTTCCTGTGTGCCAGGCACTGGCTTAAGTGTTTTATATGCAGCAACTGATTCAATCCTCTCAAATCTGGTGGGTGCCATTATTATCCCCTTCTTACAGATGAGGAATTTAAAATATCAAAATGAAGATACACAACTACTCACCGGAGACACTAGGATTCAAACCCAGAAGTCTGGCTCTGAGTTCATGTTCATTCTACCAATGCGACACTGCCCTTCACTGGTCCCACTCCTTGTTCTCAAAAGAATGGTTTGGGCCGGGTGCGGTGGCTCACACCTGTAATTCCAGCACTTTGAGAGGCCGAGGTGAGAGGATTGCCTGAGCCAGCCGGGCAACTTGGCGAGACCTCATCTCTACGATAAATCAAAAAACTAGCTGGGCATGGTAGTGCACATCTGTAGTTCCAGTTGCTTGGAAGGCGGAGGCGGAAGGATGGCCGGAGCCCAGAAGGTTGACGCTGGGAGGCCACGAGCGTGTCACTGCATCCTAGTCTGGGTGACGGAGTGAGACTCCAACTCAAAAAAAAAAAATTTGTTTGTTTCAGAGTCAAATGTGACGATTGTTTACCAGTTCTGTTTCTTTTTTGACTCGCAGTCTCACCCTGTTGCCCAGGCTAGTGTACAGTGGTATGATCACAGATACAGTCTTAACATGCTGGGCTCAGGAGATCCTTCCGCCTCAGCCTTCCAAGTACCTGGAACTCCAGGCAAGTGCCACCAGGCCTGGCTAAGTTATTATTATTGTTGTGGAGAGGAGGTCTGGCCTTATTGCCCAGGCTGGTCTCAAACTCCTGGGCTCGGACAACCCTCTTGCTTTGGGCTCCCAAAGTAGCGGATTGCAAGCGTGAGCCACTGCACCTGACCCTAATTATTTTTCACTTAAAAATATACAACTATATAGCCGGACGCAGTGGCTCATGCCTGTAATTCCAGCACTTTGGGAGGTGGAGGCAAGAGGATTACCTGAGCTCATGGGTTTGAGACCAGTCTGAGCAATATGGCGAGACCTCGTCTCTATAGTAAATCAAAAAATCAGCCAGGTGAGGCTACGGTAACTGTGAGCGTGCCACTGCACTTGAGTCTGGTGACAGAGTGAGACTCCGACTCAAAAAGAAAAGAAAACGTGCGCCTATGAGCATCTTAAGGCTTTGAGGTCCTATAGTGAAGAAGAAAGCCATTCATATGATCACAAATTTTTTTAGTTAGCATCAGCCACCTAGAAAGACAAGTTGGGAAGTGCTGCTGTAGAATTAACAATTCTTTCAGTTGTAAGTAATACAAACCCAACCCGTGCCATTCTAAGCAAATCTGGGTCTTGGAAAGACATGGTGGAAAGCCACCAGGAGAATCTCTCTGGGATGTCAGCATCCATTGCATCCATATAGTTGTTCCGGCTGCCAACAGCTCAGGTATTTCACTATTCGAACTTAAAGCATCTCCTAGTGGCAAATATAAAGACCCAGAATATGGCTGTTTAATCTGACTCAAATCCTATGTTCACCCCACGATTAGGTCTGTTAACAGAAGACAATGCCGAGGAGAGAAGTAACCACTGCAATGGGGATTACATTATTCAAAAATATTTAGAGAAAACAGGAATAAAAGTCACATTTTTTTTTTCTGTGTGTGAGAGAGCGTCTCACTCCGTGGCCCAGCTTGGAGTGCAGTGGCAGGCTCACAGCCACCCCAGTGTCGACCTGCTGGGCTCCTCCGGTGATCTTTCTGTCTCAGCCTTCCAAGCAGCTGGAACCACAGGCGTGTGCTACCACGCCCGGCTAATTTTTTTTAAATTATGGTAGAGACGATGTCTCGTCAGGTTGCCTGGGCTGGACTTGAATCCGTGGGCTCAGGCAATCCACTCGCCTCAGCCTCCCAAAGTGCTGGGATGACAGGCTGAGCCACCGAGCCTGGCCCACATTGTTCTATGAAAACCAAACGCATAGAGAAAACCAACTTTGTGTCCAAAGCTTAGTACAAACAGGCCTATGTTCAAGGGAACAACAGGGAATGCTGGACAGCTGAGGACACCTGAACGCTCTTCTCATTCTTTGTGTTACTTTTCCCCATGAAGGTACCGCTTTCTAACTGGCCATGAGACTGGAATACTTAAAAATATTTTGAACTTAACTAGGAAAGATTTATACTCTCTTTGCAGATTTTAAATCAGGAGGGTTTTGTTTCGTTTTTGAGTTGGGATCTCACTCTGTTATCCAGGCTGGAGTGCAGCAGCACGACCCCCTGAGCTCAGGCGATCCTCCTGCCTTAGCCTCCGGAGCGGGTGGGAGACCACGGGCACACGCCACCGTGCCCAGCAGTCTTCTGGAGAGACACGGTCTCACGCTGTTGCTCAGGCTGGTAAATCAGGAGATTGTGTATTTCTAGCCTCTCGTTAAGCTTTTTGTTTTTTTAACGGATTCCCCAGGCCTCATAAGCTTAAAGAGAAAAAAAGTATTCAACAGACTAGCCAAATGGAAGAGGCTTTTATTTGTAAGGAAATGAACTTACAGCTGGTCTACAATATATTATTGTAATATAAACAATATAAATAAATGATCCTGTAGGCCCACAAGTCTTCCATCCAGACCCACACGAAGCAATGTTACAACAACATTCTGTATGAAAATGTGCAGGTAACAAAGGTGCAATTACAAGCAAGTTTAAGCAGCAGAGTATAAGGTGCTTCACTTTAACAGTTAATGTTGCCATTGACGAACATCTGAATGCTCCAAATTTTACTTCACCGAATACAGACACACAAACAGGAAAATCTAAAATTCATACACATGCTACTTGTTAATATGAAAGTGCTTTCTCTTTTTAAAAAAAACACCAAATGGACACTTTTTACATAGATCAGGTGTGCTCTTATAATGCAAAATTAACTTCATTTTTCAGGTTATACATTTTCAAACTGCAGCTATCAACACCAACCTAGGAACTCTAATGCTAAGAATGCTAAAACTATTTCATTTCCTGTAAGGAGGACTCTAATACAATATCCAATGTAAAGAATACATCTATATATAATCTTAACATTTGTTTTCTGTAAGGATAAAAAATGTTTTCTTTCCCCTTGGTGACACTTTGTTTATCCTGGGCAGATCATTTTTTGAGGTCTTAATAATACAGAAGTCCTATTTTAGAGCAACAGGGGAACCAAAAGGAGAAATTGTTAAAAAGTGGTTAACATGCGCCTGAAGCATCAAAAAAATAAAAAAATGAAAAAGCCAGTTTATCACAACAGTTTGCCTTGGTTAGAATTAACACCACAATTTTTGATAAGCGAGAAGGCAGAAAGTGTGAACGCAACCCAGAACTCTGAGATGTCTGCCCCCACTGTCAGAGTCCACCCAGCTACTCCATCCACCTCAAGAATAATCCTGACTTCGAGGCCAGTTTGACTTTACTGCCTGCCTGCCTGCCTTTCTTTTCCCTTATTAGGAAAACAAAAAGACCATGCTCTTGAATGAAGTGATTGAAAATCTAGCTTAAACAATTTATGCATCCAAAATCCTATCATCTTTGCACATTCAGTT